ACGCTCGGCCTGTGTGTTTTATGCCCCGGGGCTGTGTAATGGAAACGTTGTGTCTGCCGAGGGAAAGCAGAGTTTAAGGGTGTCAAAGGGATGTGTTTTTAAGTGTTTTAGGTCTGTGGCAGAATCGGTTTTTAAGGGTAAGGATGTGAGCTCTGGTTTTCATTGTGCATTTAAGGATGTTGTAATGGTAGGCTAGAGCCTTTCGAGAGGATGGATCTCTTCTCCTCCTTCTCTTTCTTCTTCATCTTCTTCTTTTCTTCCCTTTGAGCATGGATATCGTATGATTTAGAGTGACCCAAATCACAATGTTTTTCTTCCCCTTCGTCTACTCCTCCTTTCCCCTCGCCCCCCTTTCTTCACCCTTCTCCCTTCTTCCTTCCTTCCTCTCTATCGCCATTCACCTTCATCCTTCTTCCCTCTCTCTTTCACTCTTCTCCCCTCCCTTTCCGCCTCCCTTTCCTTCCCTTGCTCTTATCAGTCACCCGCCCACGACCCCCAGATATGCATAGAACGAGGACCACAAAGTTCATAATATCTTCGTTGGGTAAAGGGTAGTAGGATAGGTGGGCGAGGGGAGAGGTGAGTAAGGGGATTTTTGTGTGGGCGGGCGAAGGGATGAGAAAGAAGATGGGACGGGTAAGGAAAGAGGGAAGAGGAAAGAGAGAAGGGGAGGAGACGGGTAAGGGGAGAGGGGAATAGAGAGAAGGGGAAGGGGAGAGAGAAAAGGGGGGGGCGTAAAGAAGAGGGAAGAGAGAGAGAAGAGGAGGAGACGGGTAAGGGGAGAGGGAATAGAGAGAAGGGGAGGGGACGGGTAAAGAAGAGGGAAGAGAGAGAAGAGGAAGGGACGGGTAAGGTAAGAGGGAGAAGGTAGGTAGTGAGGGAAGAGGGATGAGGGAATAGGAGACGGGTAAGGGGAGAATGAAGATGGAGGAGGGAGAAGAAGCAGGGAAGAGTAAGGAGAAGGGGAGAAGAGGTGAAGGAGGGGGGTAAGGGGAGGGAGGGGGTATCGGGGTTTTGTGTAGGCGTTTCGGCTCCATTTAACTTTGCAAGGGAAATTAGGGGCGGGTGATGACGAAGGCGACGGCGGAGGGTCTTCATATAAGAAACGTTTGGGCAATTTTTTCAGTGATTACTTTGTCTGTATGCGTATACCTTTTGATATCTTTTTCTCCTTGTTATTTATTATTAGTGTGTGTACTACTACTACTACTACTACTACTACTACTATTAGTACTAGAAGAGTACTGATATTATTGATTTTGTTATTATTATTATCATTATTATTATTATTATTATTATTATTATTATCATCATCATCATCATCAGTGGTAGTACTAGTAGTAATAGTAGTAACACATTTTTGTTATTATGATTGTCATTATAAAATTGTGATCCTAATTAGTCTCGTGTTTCATTTCACCTGATTTAAGCGGTGTAAATACTGTAGATTTAGCCTTGTATTCACACACTTCGAGGGAAGACAGTTCCTTTAACAAGTTAATAGTGCTCATATAGTACTCCAAGCGTTTTTATTATGTTAAGTTTTCTTTTATGCATGTTGCTTTTTGTTATTGCTTTGAATTACTGTTACTCTAAAGCAGAAATTTTGAGTTCGAATTTTGTATGTATGCTCACATTGGGTGCATGTTTGTGTGAATGGGTATGTTTGTATCTCAGTATATATGCACATGCATATACTGAAATATATACTGAGATACACTCTCTCACTCACACGCGCGCGCGCACACACACACACACACACACACACACACACACACACACACACACACACACACACACACACACACACACACACACACACACACACACACACACACACACACACACACACAACTTTTTTTCCTCTCTTTGGGTAAACGTGTGTGTGTGTTTGCACAGGTGTGTGTCTTAGTATATGTGTGTGTGTGTTTGTGTGCACGTACACACGCGACGGTATATATGTACAAGGATAAATAATAGTTTTTTTCTCTGTAACCGGCTTTTGATTATGTATTCCGCAGATTAGATCCTGGAGCAACTGTGGCCTTAACGCTTATTTGCAACGCGTAAAAGCTTTTAGCGTCAACGGAAGAGCAGAATGTGACCGCGGGGCCTGTCTCTTATATCCATTGACGGAAATTAAACCTTTTTTTGCCTTTCATTCTTTCTTTTTCTCTTTCTCATAATGTGGATATTGCAAGATGACTCGCTTGCTAAACTGCTTGAATGCCGTGCTTTTTAGTCTCCCGTGCTTTTGCCCTGTCGGTGGGGGATTATCACATTCGCGAGCGGTGGAGAGCGGGGCGGGGTACGAGGGAGGGAGTTGTGCTGGAGAGAGGGAGGACGAGCGAGCGGCTGCCGAGGGAAGGGACGGACGGACGAAGGAGTCTGTCTTTCGGGATTTCGTCTCTTATCGTATCTTATCTTCTCTGCTCTTCTCGCTCTCTCTTCTCTGCTTTTCTGGACTCTACTCTCCTCTCTCTTCTCTCTTCTCTCTCTCTCTCTCGCTCTCTCTTCTCTGCTTTTTCTGGACTGCTACTTCCTCTCTCTCTCTCTTCTCTTTCTCTCTTCTCTGCTCTCTGCTCTCTCTTCTCTTCTTCTGGACTCTACTCTTTCTTCTTTTCTCTCTCTCTCTCTCTTCGCTCTCTCTTCTTCTTTTCTCCTCTCTTCTTCTCTAATCTCTCTCTTTCTCTCTCTCTTTCCTCTCTCTCTCTCCTCTCTTCTCTCTCTCTTCTCCTCTCCTCTTCTCTGCTTTTCTGGACTCTACTCTTCTCTCTTTTCTCTCCTCTCTCTCTCTCTCTCTCTCTTCTCTCCTCTCTCTCTTCTCTCTCTCTCTCTCTTCTTCTGCTCTTCTGGACTCTACTCTTCTCTCTTCTCTCTTCTCTCTTCTCCTCTCTTATCTTCTCTCTCTCTTCTCGCTCTCTCTTCTCTGCTTTTCTGGACTCTACTCTTCTCTCTTTTCTCTCCTCTCTCTCCTCTCTCTCTCTCTTCTCGCTCTCTCTTCTCTGCTTTTCTGGACTCTACTCTTCTCTCTTTTCTCTCCTCTCTCTCTCTCTCTCTCTTCTCTCTTCCTCTCTGCTTTTCTGGACTCTACTCCTCTTTTCTCTCTCTCTCTTCTCTCTCTCCTCTCTCTCTCTCGATCTTCTCTGCTCTTCTCTCTTCTTTCTCTTTTCTGACTCTTACTCTTCTCTTTCTCTCCTCTCTCTTCTCTCTCGTCTCTCTTCTCTTCTCTCTCTCTTCTCTCTCTTCTCTCTCCTTCTTCTCTTCTCTTCTCTTCTCTTCTCTTCTCTTCTCTCTCTCTTCTCTTCTCTTCTCTTCTCTCTCTTCTCTCTCTCTCTTCTCTTCTCTTCTCTTCTCTTCTCTCTCTCTCTTCTCTCTTCTCTTCTCTCTCTCCTTCTCTTCTCTTCTTCTCTTCTCTTTCTTCTCTTCTCTTCTTTCTCTCTTCTCTCTTCTCTCTCTCTTCTCTCTCTTCTCTCTCTCTCTCTCTCTCTCTCTCTCTTCTCTCTCTCTCTCTCTCTCTCTCTCTTCTTCTCTCTTCTCTCTCAAGAGAGCGCGCAGTAGCGAGGAACGCTGAGGTCAAGAAGACGGCGCAGGTAGCGAGGGGAACGCTGAGGTCAAGAGAGCGGGCAGGTAGCGAGGGGAACGCTGAGGTCAGCGGCTGCTGAGGTCAAGAGAGCGCAGGTAGCGAGGGAACGCTGAGGTCAAGAGAGTGTTAAGGCCGCGAAGGGAACATTAAGGTCAAGATAGGGCGAGGATGCTGAGGAGAGTGCTGAGGTCAAGAGAGCGCGCAGGTACCGAGGGGAACGCTGAGGTCAAAAGAGGGCGGGTGATGAGGAGAACGCGGAGGTCAAAAGAGCGCGCAGAAGAGAATTCTGACCTCAGGCTAGTGTTGAGGTACCGAGGACAACGCCAAGGCCAGGAGAGTTTGTGCAGGTACTGATGGGAACACTGAAGTCAGGAGAGTGTGCGGGTGTTCAGGGGAACCATCAGGTCAGGGGAGCAGGAAGGTGCAGGTGATTGATGGAGAAGGGTTTGGTGCTGACAAGGTGTGATTTGCTGAGGTAACGCTGCCTTAGAGTGCAATTGCTGAAAGGAGAGCTTAGGGCAGGAAGCAAGGCAGCATTACTGTGGGCAGGAGAGAGTGCAGGCGCAGAGATTCGCCGCTGGTCATTGGCAGACGATCTTTAAACGCGGAACAGCAACGGATTGAATTGAATGGGTTAGCGTTCATTTCCTTGCATGCTTTTTCACTCGCTCCGTCGATTTTTCTTTATCTTAGAGTGTTTATGTGTATGTGTGTATGTATGGATGCATGTGTAAGTGCGTATCCGTGCATGCAGTGCGTGCATTTTCCTCTGTATTGCCATATTTTTGTGTCTCAGAGAAATGTGTCGTGCTTCGCAGGGCACTTGGAGCTCCTCGATGCTCGCCCGTTCCGACGCGAGGCGAAGGGGTCGGCGCCTCAACTAATCATAATGCATTTACTTATTATTTGCGCCTGAGGGGGAATAGGGGAGGGTGGAAAGGGATGGCGAGGGGAAGGGGAGGTTAAATGGGGGTTTGTTTGTTTCGTTCTTTGATGTCCGTTCCAACCCGTTATCTCCTTGATCTCTTGGTGTGTGTTGGTTAGTTAGTACATTTGTTCATTGTGTTGGCATTTTTTTCATCTGTGCTACTGATTAACGATTATACTAGTAAGGTTGGTGTTTGGCAGTTTTTATTATTGTTTTTGTTTTTATAACAATTTCATATATCACCGACATGAGAAGCAATCTCGTTATTTTCCTTTCGCGATTGCGAATTATTGATATTTCAGATTCAACATCATCATCATCGTCACCAGCATCACCATCGATACAATTACTATTGCTGTTATTATTTTCATTATCATGTTTATTTCTACACTCTTTTACCACCAATATGATCCCGGGCTGGAAAGCCACCTCCACGAGTCTCCCCAACGAGTTTCTTTCGTGTAATCCCCCCTCCCGTGGTTGCAGGTACCTGGTGCTGGTGTGGGAAGAGGAGTGGCAGATCCTCAGTGCTATTTATTCTCCCGATCACGTCATCACCGCTGTGTACAATGAGTCGGCGATCCTCATCACGGAGCCAGGTGAGTAAGGAAGGAGTGTGTGTGTGTGTGTCTGTTTGTGTTGTGTGTGTATGTGTGCGTTTTCTTTGCATGTGTTTAAGTATGTGTGCAGGAGTCTGTGCGTGTCTTATGTGTGCAGTGCCCTTAATATGTGTGTATGTGTGCAGGAGTCTGTGCCCTTAATATGTGTTTATGTGTGTGTGAAGGAGCCTCTGCCCTTAATATGTGTTTATGTATGTGTGAAGGAGTCTGCCTTATATGTGTTTAAAGGAGCCTGTCCCCTGTGCCCTTAATATGTGTTTATGTGTGTTTGAAGGAGCGTGTGTTTAGTTTTATGTATGTGTGAAGGAGTCTGTGCCCTTAATATGTGTTTATGTATGTGTGAAGGAGTCTGTGCCCTTAATATGTGTTTATTTATGTGTGTGGGAGTGTTTTTAAGATTAACATGGATTCTTAATTTTTTGTCCACTGCTCTCAAACGATGTTCTGTCCTTTACCCCCCCCCCCCTTTTTTTTACACATGTGCCGCCAGTGTCTCAATCCGAGGCTGTAAATACGTCCCCCTTCCACACACACCTTTCATCATGGTCGTCGGCCTCGTCTTGGCTGCTGCCGGGCTAGTCGATGGCCACGCGCGCACTTCGGACATAACGCTGAGGAAAAAGGAGAAAAAAAGAGAAGAAAGGGATAAAAAAGTCTCATCTGTGAGTTGCTTGGTGATCAATGGCTGGAGGCCTCGCAGGGGGCGGCAGGGATGGGGGTAAGGGGAAGGGCAGGGAAAAGGGAGGGGAAAGGGGTAAGGGTTGGGGAAGAGGAAAGGGGAGGGACGCGACAACTTGCGACGAAGTTGGGGAAAGTGTTTTTTTTTTTTTTATCTTCATTTTTTATCACTTTTGGTGTTCTTTTCTTCCTTTCCCTTACTCTTTTCGCTTTCTGTTTCACTTTGAATGTCCTCTTCATTTTATTCTCTCTCTTTCCCTCCCTTTCCCTCCCTTTCCCTCTCCCCCTTCCCCTCCCCTCCCTCCTTTGCATCACTTCTTTTCTCCTCTCCCTATGCTATAACCCATTCTTTCACCCTCCCCAACGGTGCTCCATACCCCTCATGTTTGTTCTTGATATTAAAGTGTTTTATTTATTTACTTATTTTATATATATTCACAAAACTCAAGGGTCTCAAGGCTTTCCAAGTTCAGAGATTTCATTGATAATGAGTATTGTCTTATTGGCGCAAAACTTAATATTTTTCATCCGTGAAACAGATGAGCTGTACCTTGGAGAAGAGAGTCACACTCATTTTCTTAGCATCTGCAGTTATTCCATCTTAATCTGCACTTTTTTTCTCTTGGAATATTTTCACACTCTAGCCATTCTATCCCTACTTCTGTAACTGCTACTCCCTCTCCAACCTTTCCCTGCCCCCTGGCATATACAGCTTGTCCACCTCCATCTCCCAGCATATGTAGCTTCTCCATCTTCCCCAGCAGGATACACAGCCTCCCCCCCATCTTTCCAGTATCCCATAGCCTCTCCATCTCTTGGAATTCATATCCTCTCTACCCTTTCTCCCTCCCGCAGCAATCAGCCTTACCATTTCCCACTAGGATCCTTGTTAACTCCATTTCCCTCCAGCATCCACAGACTCACCATCTCCCACCAGAATCCTTGGCAGCTCCATCTCCCTCAGCATCCACAGATTCACCATCTCCTGCCAGGATCCTTAGCCTCTTCAGCTCACTCCAGCTCCCACAGACTCACCATCTCCCACCAGAATCCTTAGTCTCTTCAGCTCACTCCAGCTCCCACAGACTCACCATCTCCCACCAGAATCCTTAGCCTCTTCAGCTCACTCCAGCTCCCACAGACTCACCATCTCCCACCAGGATCCTTGGCAACTCCATCTCCCTCCAGCATCCACAGACTCACATTCTCCCACTAGAATCCTTGGCAGCTCCATCACCCTCAGCATCCACAGATTCACCATCTCCTGCCGGGTCTTTAGGCTCTTCAGCTCACTCCATCTCCCACCAGGATCCTTGGCAACTCCATCTGCCTCCAGCATCCACAGACTCACCATCTCCCACCAGAATCCTTAGCCTCTTCAGCTCACTCCAGCTCCCACAGGATCAACAACTTTACCAACCATACTCTTCCTATCATCCTCAGGCTTTGCATCTCCATCTGAATTCACATCGTTTCTACCCTTTCATCTCTTCCCATACACCCATCTACTAGCACCCACAGCCTCAAATTTTATCTTCCTCTTTCCATCTCCGCTGCATCTCCAGTGTCTGTAACCCCCAGCCCACTCAACCCTCCCCCTCCGGACCAACCATAATCTCTCCAGCCCCCTCTCCCTCCCCTTCCCCTACCCCTCCGGACCATCCACAACCTTTCCGCCCCCTCCCTCCCCTTCCTTACCCCTCCAGACCATCCTCAGCCTCTTCACCCCACTCTCCTACCTTCCCTACCCCTCCCGGCCCTCCATAGCCTCTCCATCCCCCTAGCATTTGTTGCGAACTCCCGGCAATCATGTCAAGGGACGACGGGAGAGGCTGTAATGTTGGCCGGTCGAGGGAACAGCTCCGTGCTGTACGTGAATCTCCGAAGGGAAGGTTTACGGGGCCGGCTCTCCCAGTAACTTTGTTCGGAATTGGGGATCTTGAAGGAAGGCATCAGCGAGCCTCTTGCTCCTGCTATCGTTGTTGTTGTTGAGGCTGTTTCATGCGGTAGGGTTGTCCTTATGGCTTGTTTTTAATTTTGTCTGTGTATGCTGTTCCTTCTTGTCTCGTTTTTCTGCTACAGTCGTTGCGGCCGAACGATGTAAGGACTGGGGTAAAGCATTGGTCATAAGCTTGCTTCACTGAGGATTTTTTTTGGGGAAGGGGGGTTGATTTCTTTTCCATTATTTAGTTCTGTTTTGTTTTTGTTTTACTAATTCTTTTCTTAATTCTTCTACTACCTTAATCCCCTAGTGTCGTCTGAACCCCACTCATCCCCTACACCCTCTCACACTCCCCCCCCCTTCGTCTTCCGTTCCTTCGCCCTCTTCCTATTCCTCCCCCTTCCCTCCCCACTCTTTCCCTCCAACATCTCTCAAACTTCGACTCGGTTTTTTGTCGGACGCTGGGCCCCTCTCCCATCTTCGCAGCTTAGCGACGGACGCTTTTGTTCTCGCTGTGGTCGCTCCCTTCCCCCTTCTCACTCTCTCTCTCTCTCTCTTCTCCTCTCCTCTCTCTCCTCTCTCTTCTCTCTCCTCTTTCTCTCTCTCTCCATCCTCTTCTCTTCTCTCTCTTCTCTCTCTCTCTCCCTCTCTTACTCTCTCCTCTCTTCCATCTCTTCTCTTCTCTTCACTTACTCGCCTCACTTCTTCCTCTCCTTCTCCTCCTCCATCTTCCTCTCTCTTCCTCTCTCTCTCTCTTTTCTCTTCTCTCACTTCTCTCTTCTCTCTCTCTCTCTCTCTCTCTCTCTCTCTCTTCTCTCTTCCCTCTCTTTTCTC